CCGATGTATGCCTGCTAAGTTACAGAGGCTGGCCTCTAACTGTGATCCTCTTGCCTCAGCCTCCTGAGTAGCTGGGATACAGGCACATGCAGTTGTGCCCAGCCACAGAATCCTTTTAATGGACTGATCTTGTTTCTCCTCACATCTGCCTGTATGTTTTGGTTCCCAGATGAGAGAATTGGTGCCTCTGAGTGGCTTATTGAGTTGCTCCAGAGGCCTGAAGAGAAACTCTGGGCCAGTGGCGCTGGCAGCCTGGGCCTCCCCAGGGTCCCCCCCACCAAGAAGTGGTTGGGACCTGTGGCCCCCGGTGATCGCTGAAGAGCAGTCTCAGCTGGGCCCAGGGGCCAGGTGCCTGTGGGGGGTGGCTGCGGCCTTTCCCATCCTTCTGCCCAAGGCCAAAGGGTGGCCCAGAGCCTCAGCCACCTGAAATGCTCCCTTTGGGCAGCGGGGGTGAGGCCACTGCCCTGGGCACGCTGTGACTGCACCACCGTCCCTGCCCTGGCAGGAGCTGGAGCTGGTGGAGGACGTGTGGCGGGGGGAGGCGCAGGACCTGCTGTCCCAGATCGCCCAGCTGCAGGAGGAGAACAAGCAGCTCATGACCAACCTCTCCCACAAGGACGTCAGCTTCTCCGAGGAGGAGTTCCAGAAGCATGAAGGTAAGAGGGCCGCCCGGGCGAGGGGGACTGTCCTGCGGAGCTGCTGCCCGCGTCCTGGTGCCACATTGACTCTCATCCCTGCTCTGCAAGAAGCTGGGGAGCCCGGGTTGGCAGATGGCGACACAGGTTTGCTTAGGAGGCTGCCCCCGGTTCCCTCCCTGCCCTGGGACACCTTAGACAGGACAGAGACCCTGCCCTCCTGAAGGAGGAGATGGTTGATGAGCACGTGGACCGACAGTGGCTTGGTTCCAGAGGCCAACAGCACCATAGAGGAGCTGACCAGGGTGCAGGTAGTGACCTGAGGCTTCTTTAGAGACGGAGGCTGTCACAGTTGAGCCTAATGAGGTGACAGTGTGGGCCCTGCAAGTACCTAACGCAAGAAGCAAGTAGCACAGAGGCCCCGGGGCAAGAGTGAGAGACCCGGGAGGCTGGGGTGGGGTACAAGAAGACCCAGGCCAGAGTGGCTGAAGATGAGGTCAGGGCCAGCAGGGGTCAGATCACACGGCCCCTTAGACAAAGCTGTGGTCTCTGGAAAGAGATTTGAGGCTCTTATAGGGGGCAACTAGGGACAGCAGCCCAGGCCTGACTGGCACTGGGTCCACTCCACTGTCACATCCTATGAACAGCTACCCAGAACCTTCACGCCAGCTGCTGTTGGGATACAAGAATGGACAGTGGGTCTGAGCTGGGCCTCCTAAGCCCCCTCTGTCCTGTACTGGCCAACGCCTCTTCCCCTGCAAATCAGAGCTGCCTCTTGCCTCCCACCTTGAGGGATCTCAGAATCATCTCTTTAGCCTGAGACAACCCTTGGGGTCAGCCGGGCACAGGTCTGTAATCCCAGCTGTTTGGGAGGTTGAGACAGAAGGATCAAAATTTCAAGGCCAGCTTCAACAACTTAGTGGGACCCTAAGCAACTAGCAAGACCCTGTCTCAAAATAAAAGATAAAAGGAGCTGGGGATACAGCTCAGTGGTGAATGCCCCTGGGTTCCATCCCCAGTACCAAAAATGTGTGGTGGCTCAGTGGTGCAGTGCATGCCTGGCGTGGGTGAGGTCCTGGGTTTCGTCCCCAGTGACTCACACACACAAAGACATGGATTTTATCAATTACAGAGATTGAGTAAAAAGCTGGGAAATGACACTCCAAGGGAAAGCCTTGGAGCTGTAGGAATGTAAGAAAAATTTATTTGGGAGCTGGGGTTGTGGCTCAGTGATAGAGTGCTTGCCTTGCACGGGTGAGGCACTGGGTTCCATCCTCAGCACCACATAAAAATAAGTCAATAAAATAAAGGTATTGTCCATCTACAATTAAAAATTAAAAAAAGAAAAGAAAAATGTATTTTAAGGCAAAAACACTATTAAAGGGTTACTTCAATGATGATAAAAAATTCAGTGTTCTAGGACGATCTGGTGATTTCCAAATTTGCATGCACTTAATAATTCATCCTAAGAGCATATTTTTAGCCAGGTATGGTGGCTGTGCCTGTAATCCCAGCTTCTTAGGAGGCTGAGACAGCAGGATCACAAGTTCAAAGCCAGCCTTAGCAATTTAAAGAGACCCTAAGCAACCTATTGAGACCCTGTCTCAAAATAAAAAATAAGGGTTGGGACTGGGGCTCAGCAGTAGCACGCTTGCCTGGCACGTGGGAGGCACTGGGTTCGATTCTCAGCACCACATACAAATAAAATAAAGGTCTATCAACAAGCAAAATATATATGTGTGTGTGTGTGTGTGTATAAATTAAATACAAGCAAATTAATATATATTTTTTAAAGAAATAAAAATAAAAAGGATTGGGGATGTGGCTCAGTAGTTAAGCAATCCTGGGTTCAATTCCCAGAAACAAAAAATATATATGCACATACCTACATACATATCCATATTTTAAAAGTGAATAGAAGTATGTCCAAAGCAGGCCGATTCATTAAGACTAAGTTAGACTGGTGGAGAGCAGAGGGGGATGGCTGCCTGCGGCTTTGGCATTCTGGAGTTAGTATGGCGCTGCTCTCTCTGGGTCCATGGATCTGTCTCTTCCGGAACTCTGCACAGGGGGGGTCACCCTGCGTGGTCCTGTGTCTGCCTCCTTTTACTTGGGTCATGTTTTCCAGCTTTGCCCCTTTTTGAGCAGGTGTCAGTAGCTACTTGTTCCTTTTTATGGCTGAGTCCTTTTCCATTTTGCAGATGGAGCAGTTTGTGTGGACTCTGGGGCTGTCCCCCCTTGCCACCCTGCCATGTGCCCCTGTACACAAGTCTTTCTGTGTGTTCTCAGATCCGCAGGCAGGTGCCTCAGCAGGGGATGCTGGGCCATGCGGGAACTAAGTTGTACTTATCCAAGGGACCTGATGCCTTATTCTTGCCTGTGACACTTCTGAGGGCACACAGAGGCCTCTGCCGATGACCTGGGAGCTGTCCTGCCTGCCCCACTGAAGCCGCAAAGGCGCGAGGGCCTGGGCCAGGGGCCTGAAAGCATAGTTCTGAGCTGCCCCTTGGCTGGGTTCCATCTGCTGCAGCGTGGGGAGCTTCGCTGTTTCCCCCACAGCCTCCTGTCCCTGTGGCCTCCTGTCCCCTGCTGGGCTTGTCAGGAAGCAGCTGGAGTGTGGATCCCAGCTGGAGTGGGTCCCAGTGAGGACCCTGGGCTCCTGCCAGGCTGCAGCCGTGAGTGGAGAGGCCCCATGCAGGTACTGGGCCGGTGGTCTCCCTCCCGCTGCTGAAGTCCCTCAGAGAAGGAACGGGGAGACCATCGGGCTGCACCTTGTGCCAGCTGTGACTCTGGGCAGAGGCTTGGGGGCATGCTGACGATTTAGGGGTGCAGCTGTCTGAATCCTGGGGAGGTGAGGGGTTCTCAGGGGGACCTTCCAGGGCAGCCAGCATGGCTTTCTCAGCTCCTAGCATGGGGTGCCCCGTTTCTCAGAGCTACCTGGGGGGGGGCTCCTCTCTCCCACTCTCTGGAAGCATCTAGATGATAGAACACTTTCTTCCTGTGATCCCAGCTTCTCAGGAGGCTGAGGCAGGAGGATTGCAAGTTCAGGACCAGCCTGGGTAACTTAGTGAGACCCTGTCTCAAAACAGGCTGGGGATGTAGCTCAGTGGTGGAACACCCGGGGTTCAGTTTCCGCTGTAAAAAAAAACAAAATAAGACAAGAAAGCTATTTCTTAGCCGGGCACAGTGGTGCAGACCTGTAATCCCAGCTGCTCAGGAGGCTGAGGCAGGAGGAGGATCACCAACTCAAAGCCAGCCTCAGCAATTTAGCGAGGCCCTAAACAACTCGGCCACACCCTGTCTCTAAATAAAATACAAGAAAGGGCTGGGGATGTGGCTCAGTGGTTAAGCACTCCTGGGTTCCATCCCCAGTACCAAAAAAGAAAAAAGAAAGCACTTCTTTGCCTGTTTTTTGGAATCCATCTTGTCATTTAGAAAGCAGGGAGTAGAAATGACTCGTCAGCACCCAGGGAGTGAATTACAGATCTCCAAGCCATTGGACCCGGGAGACAGGTGTGAAGAGACACTCTCGGGTCTGCAGAAAGTCCTTGGGCTGTGCAGGAACAAATTAGGCGTCGTTGGGAGTGGAGGAAAACCACCAGCGCAGGCGTCTCTGCCGAGCAGTAGGATTAGTTCTTGGGATTTTTCTCATCGGCACATGAGAGAAAAGTGAAAGGGAACAGGAGAAGGGAATTTCGATATTATATTCAGTTAAACCCCGCAGATCCCAAACACTGCCCTGCAACGCGAATCAACGTGAAGATGATCCGTGGGGTGTTTTGCATTTTTTTTCCTACTAAGTCTTGGGGCGGGGGCAGGGTGGTTGTGAAAATACGTGCAACATAAAGTATACCACCTTGGCCGCTGCCAAGTGCATGGCGATGTGCACACTCAGAGCACTTGCTGCCACTGCCACCGCCAGTCACCCTCTGAGTCTTCATCTCGCAACACTGAGACTCTATACCACGCAGGTGTGGAGGCTGCTGACCCGACTCCAGTCCCAGCCTCGCCTCTACCGCCTGGGTCATTTGGGGAAGGTCACTAACTAGTCCAACCCTCAAGTTATTTCCAGGGTCAGTGCTCAGTAAAAGATGTCCCCAAGGGCGTCTTTTCCTCCGCGTTGAACCAAGTCTCGTTCAGTATGAACTTCAGCTCAGTGAAATCCCGTGCGCACCCTCTCTGGGCCTTTCTCTGACGTCTACTGTCTCCAGGGGCTGCCGTGACCCATTGCTGCAGGAAACTGGGTGCTTATGACAGCAACACGTGTCCCCTCAAAGCTCCGCAGGCAGGTCCAAAATCTGTGTGCCAGCAGGGCCAGGGGCTCTGAGGGGAGATGGCTCTGCTTCAGTCAGCTTTTCCTTGCTGGACCTGGAAAGGATGAGGCCAAGGAGAAGTTTACTTTGGCCCACGGTTTCAGTCTGTGATCTGCGAACGCCATAGCGAGGGCAGAGGTCAGGCAGAGCACCTTGGTGCAAGGGTGTTGGTGTGGAAAGCTGCTCAGGGCATGGCAACCAGGACGCAGAGAGAGCTCAGCTCACTGGGACAAAACATAGACCCCAAGGCACACCCCAGCGACCTGCTCCTCCAGCCACACCCTGCTGCCTACACTTAGCACCCACTTCATCCCTATCAGTGGATGGGAGGCTCCTGGAGTTGAACCCAGGGTACTTAACCCCTAAACCCCATTCCCAGCTCTCTTCATTTTGTTATTTTGAGACGGTGCCTCACAGACTTGCTTAGGGTCTCCCTAAATTGCTGAGGCTGGCCTTGAATTTGGGATCTTCCTGCCTTGGCCTCAAGTTGCTGGGATTGCAGGTGTACGCTATCATGCCCAATAGGTGAAGCTCTCTTAACCCAATGATGTCACCTCTGACATACAGGAGTGTTTTGGGGACACCTCAAATCCAAACCATAGCACCTCCCTGGCCCCTTTCAGCTCACCTCACGCCTCTTGCCCTGTGGCGCTGCCATTGGAATCTCTGCCTCCTGCTCCC